CCGGTATCGGTGACACTAGCTATATTCGCTCAGTTCTCGATATTGATTTTTTATTAATGATGGCGCTAAAAAAGTAGCCCTTCGGTAAAACAGGTAATCAATTCAAAAGTGAAAATGATAATTTAGTAGTGAATTTTTTGGAAAATGTATAAAAAAGAATGAGAAAACTGTTCAAATCATCAGTTTTTTAAAGAACCACAGTCAACTGTCAGTTTCGATGAAAACTATACGAGATGGGAATAATAAGATCGAAATAAATTTTATATGATGTTTTTATATACCTTTTCGAAAACAATAGCTGTGTGCCTTATATTTGTAAATAGTTATTTTTATACCTATCAGAAACAAATTTTACAAGGAATAAAACTTTAACGAAATATAGGATGAAACTATACAAAACTCAAAAAAAAATCGCTTCAATTGTTAAAAAAGTATTCAAGTTTCTTTTTCAATCGAACTTTTGCGACAACGTTTAGACTCGAAACAGATCATAAGAAACAACCATGATCGGTGCTTTTATTTGATATCCTTATGCATATACGTCGACACAGAAAATGTCAGTAGTACATGCAGTTTTTCCAAATAAATTAGTAAAGTGAAGTACTGGATCTTATAGAAAAAGATAAACTATAGGGCACTTCAGTATATTTTTCTATGATCCTAACTTGAGATCTACTATTGATGCGAAAACTGACTTTCTCAGCAGGTATAATTCTGATATACCATGCAGTAAGATCTAGAGTTTTTTGCTTATCACAATAAAAATAAATCGAACAGAACTTATCTGAAGGCAAAAGTCTAATCTCCACCGTAAATGCAAAAAAATTTGGAGACAGAAAGAGAGAAACTTCTATACTTTCATTTCACAAAAATGACAATAAAAAACTGAACAAGGATTTTTCCAACAGTTAAGTGTAACGACTAATTCTTTTCATCATAAAGCATGACAGCAAAAGTTTTGAATCAGTAACCTTTACAAGCGTTATATGATAGTTGATTTAAATGACCGAATGATATGGACGCTATTCGAAAACTCTATAAAACCTCATAGAATAGATTCATACATAACAGCAGGATTCTTAAACAGCAAAAAAAGACTGCGTTTTCATTGTTGTATATGAGCTGTTGTCGTCGATTTAATAAAAGCATAAGGTTTTCCGAAGATTCAGCCAAACAGAAAGAAACTAACTGATATATTGTTAATCAAGGCCTCCCGGAAATATAGCTAAAGCAATATTTCGATATTATTCGAAAAGATATATACAGAGGAGAGAAGACTAACTTGCCGATCTAGAAAAACCAAATTGATGAGGTTTTTTTCAGACGTCATAACTTATGTAATGTTCGCCCATTGCAGCCAGAGACACTATCGGTATATTTTAAATCTTACTCGTAGTACCGATAACAGTAAGGAATCAAGCTGTTTCTTGCTAAAACTTGACAAAGTTTTTCGGATGCCAGTTCAAAAATGGCGGCTACCCGAAGAAAATTTTTTCATACGTTTGAAGGTGATTATCTCTTTTCTCTCTATGTACCAATTGATATGGCCTACACGTTTCTCGCCAACCGTTGTCATTGATGTCTATTTATAGACATTATTGAAACGATAAACTCGATCATTTGGTTTTATTGTTGTCTTAATGCTATTGAACAGAGTATCCAACATAATCGCAATTGAAGAAAAGAGGTGAAGAACCAGAAATTGCCATTCACTATTTCACCTCAACTCTTTGAGGTATAGTTTCGTCAAAAAGTTATCAGTTCGTAATATTCAGATTTCGAACAAACATATTTCGCCGAATATGCTCAAACATAGACAAAATCGGACATAGCTTGCATAGACAATATTTGTAGTCTTCTGTAATAAGCCCAAAAAAAATCTCACATTTCCCTACGAAGAAAAACTTTCTACGTTGAAATACTTTAATATACTTTTCTTTCAAAACTAATCTTACTTTGATAACTTTTTTGTAGATGTCGAAAAGAGGACGAAATAACTTCGATATGCCTTTTATATATAGAAATTCTAGGAAAGTTTTACTTCTCCAAGTAACAATTCTAAAAATGGTGATTGTGATGTCTTGATCAAAGTTCGACGGATCGGAAATTCTGCAAGAGACTATTTAAAAAAAATATTGTTAGAAAACATGTTGAAAGTCTTCCATCTGAAAGTATTTATGCAACAGAATTGAAGACAGAAAAAATAATGTGTATTAATTTTGATAAAAATCAGCAAAAAGTAAATAACCGGTAGCTTTGATAACCGTTTTAATATGCTGCAGTATCCGTACAGTGTTTTCATCGTGTATAACTTTATCGTTAGATATCTTGTGCAGGCTTCTCAACATATCAAATACATTTATTTAACAGTTGAAAAATTATTGAGCTGGTACCGAAAAGTTGTATTTTAATACGTATATTGACTGAGTGGATTTAGTAGAAATACTGCAGGAACAGTTTTCTGTAGAAACTCTCCATATTAAGAGATATATTTATACGCTCATGCCAGGCATGTGTTCTTTCTTAACTACTGTCTCCTTGTAGATTGAAATGGCTTCTATGGATAATAACGTTAAATTGGTCAAATACACCCCTCGTAGAACCACTGTTTTTGACAACATAAACGAGGAGCCGAGTTCATTTCCACATCCCCGAAATACAAGAAACGTTCAAAATGATACTATCAATCGAATAAAAAATTACACGTTTCGACAAAATATGTATGAGTTTTTCGTTTCATGTAAAATATCATCGTAGTTGCTCTTTTCTAGGAAATTTTGTTACTGGTCGATGCTGGGTTTCATACCTAGACCTGTCTTTGTGTTGCCTCTGATCACAACTGTAGTTACGATCATAGGTATATTGGTAGTATGTTTAACCGCACCGAAATCTTCAGGTACGTACTTGTTGGTTCGTATTCTTCGTATTCAGCACAATAAAAACTCATAGTTAATTCGGTTATGTTTTACCAGTCTTATGAGTTTTGGTTAAAAAACTTTGAATTGTGATAAAATATTTGATATCGACATGTTCGAAGCAAATCATCAAGCAAGGACAGATTATAAGCATTAAATTGTTTCACTTTTCCCTTTTTAAAGTAACAATGACGAATGCGAACCAATCGAGATGATCATCACTGAAAGATCTAATGCTTTTTCCATAAGCCGCATCCTTTCATTTTACTTATTGGCGGTGACTATCGATTAGAAAAGAATTTCAGAAAGAATCTTCCCAGTACTACTTTGTTCTAAAGAAAGCAGAATAATAAATTTCTCTAAGGTAGAGATTATTGCGTTTTCTATAATTTTTTCTCATGCATCGATAAAACAAGAATTTGACAATCTGATTTTTTTACAATCTGATGTTACACATTGTTACTTGTTGCAGAAAGATTCACCTTATCAAATTCAATGTTCTTGAGTCACTTTTTCTATTACTTTTGGTGGTATTCTTTCAAATCTCTGAATGGAAACAGCAGCTTACACTGGATGCCTCTTTCTCTATCTCATCAACATATTTTGCGATATAGTAGAAGTGCAAAAAAATAACAACAAATATAGGTGATTTTCTCATGGAAAATGACGAGTGGGTATCTTTCCTTCACGGAACACATCTTCTTTAAATTGTCTCACTTTATATTACTTGGAGACGAGAGTAAGTAGTATATGTGTTCCATCTCTATCTTCTTTCGTTCTGCTAGTATGTACGATACAATCATTTTACTTTTGTCTTTCTGTATGGCCTATGTATGTTCTATGTTGTATTCACCAGTAAGCTCTAATATCTTTATGAAATTCTAGCGAAATATTTTCGTTACCACGGTTCAAACCAGTAAAGTTTTGATTGTACATTATAAAGCTGAGAAAAATATTTATCACTAGTTGTGATTGAACAGATCGATAGAAATCATTGATTGCTTACTGTACGAAAAGTAGTAGAGATAAATAGTTGCATGCTTGTCATGCAAAAACTATCTGTAAACATGCGTTGTCCATATGGCGGAATTACTGACAAATACACTAATTATGGTAGGTCGTCTTCATGCATGGTTGGTCAGTCAGTAGACTCACATTTGCATATCGAGCGTCACAATTTTGCTCCTTGTTAATCTGAAGCATTCCTAGAAGACTTTTATTATATTTTGTTTGTTATTCAAAATTACTAATCCCAAATATTGATTGGATCACTAAAGGTATTAAACAACGTAAGAATTTTGATGTCCGTTCAATTTTGCAGCAGGGTGGCACAGCACAGTTTTAAATCAAATTCTACAGTAAATCAGAAGATGAGAACAGACAAGTGGCTTGATTGATGAATTTCCATATTTAACTTTATCTGAATTCGAAGAAACTAGGCGGAGTTCTTTTCAAAGATGATGATTATGAATTGTCTCTGAATAGAGTCATACAATAACTACTAACAACATAGGATAGTAATTGTGATAATGCAAAACAACCTACACTGAACACGAAAAAGGTTTCGTAGGATTGTAATGAATTTGAAACCCTTTTTTGGTTTCGTATAACATTACGAAACCATTAATTTTTGATGATGGTTTCGTAGTGCTATAGGTAATCCCGACAGGTACGTGTAAAGCATCCAGAAAACTGTTTCGTGGGTTCCGTAGTAACATCCAAAATCAAAAATAGGTTTTGAATTTGTTACAAACTGCGAAACCTAAAAGGAGTTTCACGATATGCATGAAACCCTTTTTCAGATTTCGTATAAAACTGTTTTTGCTTTCATTGTAAGATGAATAGTTCTACTGGAGCACACAGTCACTCATCTCATTCTTTTTCATCTATCTTTTAGTTCCAAAGTGCGGTCTCAATTTCAAACCAACGGCTCAAAAGCCAATTGAATATAAGTACGGTCCACGATCTGTGGCCATCGGCGATTTCGACAATGATACAGTTTTGGATATGGTTGTCGCCAATCATATGGCGAACAAAATAGCTGTGTATTTGGGATATGGTGATGGCACTTTTAAAGACCCAACTATGCATTCAACAGGCTCCTACTCTAGTCCTTACATGGTCACCGTTGGTGATTTTAACAATGACCACCGATTGGATATTGCAGTAGCGAATTTCGGCACTAACAATATTGGGATCTTTCATGGATATGGGAACGGTTCTTTCGAAAGTCAAATACAACTTTCAACAGGCTCATCTCGTCCTATAACAATTATTGTTGTTGATTTCAATAATGATTCCATACTTGATATCGCCACTGCCGATCACGGAACTCACAGTGTTAGTATCTTCTATGGATATGGTCATGAAAACTTTTCCCCTCCAGTGACGTATTCAACAGGTTATGATTCTTTTCCATCCTCATTATTTGCTGGAGATTTCAATAACGACAACTATGTAGACCTTGTCGTTGCCAATTATGGCACCAATAATATTGGCATACTTTTTGGAAAAAGCAACAGAACTTTTGAAAAACAAATCACGTTTTCAACTGGACTTGGTTCTCATCCATACTCCGTCGCTGTTGGCCACTTCAATGATGATGGATTTATCGATATAGCTATCGCCAATTCTGGAACTTATGAAATAGGTGTACTCTTAAACAAAGGTAACGGAACTTTTGCTAATCAAACCACCTATTCCATCGAGTCTGCTTTTCCATATGCGATTGACGTCGTAGACTTCAATCAAGATAATCGATTGGACATCGTCGTCACTAATAACGGCCTTGAAAATATAGGTGTACTTCTTGGATATGGAAACGGTCATTTTGAAAATCCAATGATGTATTCAACTCTATCCTATTCTTCGATTTCTGTTGCCATTGGTGATCTCGATAAGGACGATCGATTAGACATTGTCGTTGTCAACAATGATACTGGTAGCATAGATATTCTCCTTCGTTATTTTGAGGGTTTTGAAAATCAAATGAAGTATTCAGCCGGTTCTTCTCCACAAGATGTAGCTGTTGGTGATTTCAACAATGACACTCGACTAGATATCGTTATCGCCAATCAGGATAGCAATGATGTGAGTGTTCTGCTTGGAAATGGAGATGGTTCTTTTGAAAATCAAACAAGGTATTCAGCTGGCTCTCATCCAACCTCTGTAGCTGTTGGTGATTTCAACAATGACACTCGACTAGATATCGTAGTCGTCAATTGGAATAGCAATGATGTGAGTGTTCTTCTTGGAAATGAAGATGGTTCTTTTGAAAATCAAACAAGGTATTGGGCTGGCTCTTATCCAGTATATGTAGTTGTTGGTGATTTCAACAATGACACTCGACTAGATACCGTTGTCGCCAATTCTCGTAGCAATGATGTGAGTGTTCTTCTTGGAAATGGAGATGGTTCTTTTGAAAATCAAACAAGGTATTCAGCTGGCTCTTATCCAGTATCTGTAGTTGTTGGTGATGTCAACAACGACTCTCGACTAGATATCGTTGTCGCCAATTCGTTTAGCAGTGATGTGAGTGTTCTTCTGGGAAATGGAGATGGTTCTTTTGAAAATCAAGCAAAATATTCCACTGGCTTTTCGCCATCATCTGTAGTTGTTGGTGATTTCAATAACGACACTCGACTAGATATCGTTGTCGCCGATAAGGTTAACACAGATGTAAGTGTCCTTCTTGGAAATGGAAATGGTTCTTTTGAAAATCAAATAAGATATTCAGTTGGGGCTGCTCCATATTCTGTAGTTGTTGGTGATTTCAACAACGACACTCTACTAGATATCATTGTCGCCAATTTGTATAGCAATGATGTGAGTATTCTTCTTGGAAATGGAGATGGTTCTTTTGAAAATCAAATAAGGTATTCAGTTGGGTATAGTCCATGTTCTGTAGTTGTTGGTGATTTCAACAACGACACTCGACTAGATATCGTTGTCGCCAATAGCGATAGCAATGATGTGAGTGTTCTGCTGCAATATAACAGAGGAGCACTAGCATATAAAATCTCGTATGCATCTGGCGGTGGATCTAGCCTACAATGCGTAGTGATTGGTGATTTGAACAATGATACTAATCTGGATATCGTCGTAGCTAATTATGGCACTAATAATATCGGTGCCCTTTTTGGATATGGAAATGGCAGTTTTGAAAACCAATTGATGCTCACCACTGGCACAAATTCTCATCCGATTTCCGTCGCGGTTGGGGACTTCAATGGTGACCTCGTAGTGGATATCGCTTTAGTCAATAACGGTACCAAGCATGTAGATATCATGCTTGGAAATGGGCAGGGAAAATTCGCAATGCAAAGAAGTTATGAAATTGCTTTTGATTCAACTCCATTAGTTATGGCTTCTGGTGACTTTAATAATGACAAACGATCTGAGATTAGACTGTATATATATGATGTC